CTATTGTAGTTGAAAAACAAAAAGAAATAAAAAAATTTTGTAGGCTGAAATAGTCAAAACTTGAAAAAGCTCTTGGTCTCTGGGAAGATAATGTACTTAATACAGGACAAGATATTGATAGATATATTCTCAAAATAAAAGCAAAGTTTTTTGCTGATCATCTTCATATTGAAGATTTTTATCAGTCTAATAGTTGGCTTACTGGTTTCAAAAAGTGTAATGGACTCTGTCAATTTAAAAAAGAAGGTGAAGCAGCAAGTGTACCTCCCATAGAAAAAATAGCAGAAGAGCAACTTAGGATACAAAATTTACTTCAATATTATAGTCTTGAAGATATTTGGAATGCTGATGAAACTGGACTTTATTGAAAAATAGAACCTTCTCATATATTGGCTCATTTAAAATTGGCAGGGCACAAAAAAGAAAAAATGTGTGCAACAATATTTTGTGCTATAAATGCAAGTGGAACTGAAAAATAAAATTAGCATTTATTTATACCTCCAAAAGACCTCATGCTATGTGAAATATTAATTATGATAATCTTTCTGTTTATTATTATTATAATCAAAAAGCTTGGATGAAAACTACTCTTTTTAATCAATTTCTCCTTAAGCTTAATGATTGAATGAGCCAAAAATGTCAAAAAATTATACTTTTAGTTGACCAAGCATCAGTACATGCTGTTCTTGATGAAACTAAAAGACAACTAGATTGTGTATAAGTAGAATTTCTTCTAGCATATACAACTCCTGTTCTCCAACCTTGTGACGCAGGAATCATCTATTCATTCAAGTGCCACTACAAAACTCTCTTTGTTCAAAACAGAATTAAAGCCTATGATGACATGCAAAATGGGGTGAAAAAAAAAATAGTCAACTATAATGTTTATGATGCAATACTTAATGTAGCTGAAGCATGGTCTATGGTATCATCAAACACTATTAAAAACTGTTGAAAAAAAATATATATTCTTCCACAAGAAGGTCTTGAAGAATTTGATGAGGAATTCAAAAATATGTAAGTATATTAATAACTATTAACTATAAACAACAAACAAAAATAGAAAATTTTTTATATAAGTTTACTAATGCGAATTAAAAAGAACTAGAAAGTTTGTTAGCACATAGGTTTTATTCTGCTGGTATTTCATTTAATATTTTGGAAAATGAAGATATAAAAGCTTTTTTTTTAAGAGCAATACCATATGGGGATGCCCATAGCAAAAAGGGGGATGAGACTATATATTATATAGTCCAATCCTCCCCTTTTGCTATGGGCATTCCTATATTTTAAATTACCTATACATTAATCTCTTTCAAACTCTCTTCTTACTAAAGAATATTCTGGTCTAAATACTGTTATTAATTACTTACTTGATGAAGCACAATTTTTGTATCTTGTAATGGATGGTTAGTCAAATATTCGTAAGGATTCTATTATTAATTATATGATTACACTTCTAAACCACTTTTTTATAAATTAGTACATATGAAAGAAGATCAACATACTGCACAAAACATTGCAAAAGGAATAAATAAAGTTATACAAAAGCTT